AAGAATACTATTTTATATTTTATATAAAACTTAAAAAACAAAAATTTCATATGTTTATAGACGACAGCTATTACATCGAACTTGGATATGATGATTCCGATTGAATCGCAAGAAACTCAGGAGGACGCTATTGATTTTCATTATTTTCATGCAGAAATTGTCAAAGATTCACTTGGTGGTGAAGTCAGAATTACTGCCGCATCCGAAGCTACAATTACCATCTTAAGACCAGTCTCTACACCGATAGAGGTTTTGTGGCATCAATTAAAAGAAGTATTCGTCAATCAAATATTTCTCAACACTAAACAAAACAAAGGTATAAGAATCAGAAGTTGTATTTTGGAGAGCTATTACAATTGGATTAACAAGGCGCGTGGCGTGCTTATGAAAACGTCTTTATCATATAAAGTTCGATGGTTCTTAAGTGAGCTGTTGGTGGTCGCGCCAAACTCATCTATTAAAAAGATGGGACAACTACTAGAACCAAACAAGCAGAAACTATTGAAACAATATTTACTTACTAATATGGATACTATGGTGCTGAATTTAAAAACCATAGCTACAAAATTGAAGAATGTAAAATCTGTGAGTCCCGAAATGGAACAACTGCTAAAGATTTCGGAATCTGGCATTACGCAAGTTGAAAATTATTCATTTCTACGTCATTTGTTAACTGATTTGTTTGACGAAGAAGAAGAGATCATTAATCAGCATGTCGCCCTTTTGGATCGTATTCATGCAGAAGTTCATACTACATATCAAGAAATATTAATTGATGGTGTCCAAAGGCACTTGGATAAATCAGGAGTGGAAGATAATTCTTATTATGACATATTGATTGCCGATTTGCAAAAGAATTTAAAAAATATAGATAAAAAAGAAAATATACTTAGGAAAACTAAAGAAAACAATTTGGCAGTTGCTGAATTTATTAGTGACAGTAATACAGGTAAATCAGAACTGGAAAGAAAAAACCTTAGAATCTTAAAGAAAATTAAAGAATCAAATACTGAAAAGTTAGAGGATTTTGAATATTTCATATTAACGGAAATAGAAAAAGCAGTGAAATATTCTGAGCAAAATATTTTACAAAAATATGAAGATATAAGCGACGAATCGAAAAATATTATGACAAAAAATAAAAAGGATAAGAATATTGTCAAATCCGGCGAAATTATTCTGCACTCTTCTCAAAATCAGAGCGAGAGCGAAAATAGAGAGAATAAAGTTCGAAGTTCCTTTCAGAAAGAAATAGATTTTCTTCAACTAACAAAAGTAATAGATACGAAATTTAAAGAAACAACAGACAAAAAGATAAAAAAGTCTTCTGCAGATTCTGCATCGAGTAGTACTAATAAAATTCACATTTTTGATGCGTCTATGGCTAAAGATACATCCAATACAAGGATTACATCTCCCAATAATAAACATACTTTATTACAAGGATTACAAAAAGACATTAGTGATATACAGCATAGTCACAAGACTGATTTAAGAACAAAGACATCCAATCGGAAAGATTTCGTTGAAAATAAAATTATATCCACTGATTTACTGGAAGAGTTTAAAAATCCTATGTGGGTTATCAATGAGGAAAAAGTATTTCAAAAGAAACCACAAATGGCAAATACGCTACATAGTACCACAAAACCCAATAAAGTGAAGTATGATGAAAAAAAGTACATGAGTAAAAATAAAGCAACTAAACCAAAATCGAGTACAGCTAAACATATCGATAATGAATTATAACAATAGTTTTGAAATTTAGACTACAATTATACAGAATTTCCAACGGCCATAAGGCTATACTGCATTATAACTGATATTTTTGCATTGTGATCTAGATGTGCATATAGTCAATACGTTCCGTGCCATGTGTACCATCGATGATACACGTTAAACTTTTCATTCAGACCGCGTATTCCACGGATAGTACACGATGTGATGACTATTCTTTACGTATGCATGACTGTTCTGAGCTCGGCACGGAACGGGTTAATTGACCTCTAAAACACCTCTTGTGTGTGTATTTGCGCGCGGGCGCAACACACACACACACACACGAGAGATAATCTAGAAAAATTATATCTATTCGATAAGAAATATAAAATTGTCAGATTATACTACTGCTATATTATACTTATATAAAAAATCTAAATTGGTGCTTAATAAAAAAATTTATTAAGTCTCATAGAGATATACCTGTTCGACACAAATGTTAAAGTGGTTGTGAGGATGTAAACAAGGCGCTAAACTCATGTACATTTCGTGTATTATAGTATAATATTCTGTACACTGAAATAGGGTAGCGATAAAGTTCTTTCTTCCAAGAAAGCAGTTTTGATGTATCAATTCTATAATTTGTATTATATATATATACATATATATATATATATATATATATATATATATATATATATATATATATATATATATATATATATATATATATATATATATATATATATATATATATATATATATATATATATATATATATATATATATATATATATATATATATATATATATATATATATATATATATATATATATATATATATATATATATATATATATATATATATATATATATATATATATATATATATATATATATATATATATATATATATATATATATATATATATATATATATATATATATATATATATATATATATATATATATATATATATATATATATATATATATATATATATATATATATATATATATATATATATATATATATATATATATATATATATATATATATATATATATATATATATATATATATATATATATATATATATATATATATATATATATATATATATATATATATATATATATATATATATATATATATATATATATATATATATATATATATATATATATATATATATATATATATATATATATATATATATATATATATATATATATATATATATATATATATATATATATATATATATATATATATATATATATATATATATATATATATATATATATATATATATATATATATATATATATATATATATATATATATATATATATATATATATATATATATATATATATATATATATATATATATATATATATATATATATATATATATATATATATATATATATATATATATATATATATATATATATATATATATATATATATATATATATATATATATATATATATATATATATATATATATATATATATATATATATATATATATATATATATATATATATATATATATATATATATATATATATATATATATATATATATATATATATATATATATATATATATATATATATATATATATATATATATATATATATATATATATATATATATATATATATATATATATATATATATATATATATATATATATATATATATATATATATATATATATATATATATATATATATATATATATATATATATATATATATATATATATATATATATATATATATATATATATATATATATATATATATATATATATATATATATATATATATATATATATATATATATATATATATATATATATATATATATATATATATATATATATATATATATATATATATATATATATATATATATATATATATATATATATATATATATATATATATATATATATATATATATATATATATATATATATATATATATATATATATATATATATATATATATATATATATATATATATATATATATATATATATATATATATATATATATATATATATATATATATATATATATATATATATATATATATATATATATATATATATATATATATATATATATATATATATATATATATATATATATATATATATATATATATATATATATATATATATATATATATATATATATAATGGATACACTGTTATATGTATATAATGTAAATTTTAATATGATATAAATGGATATTGAAGATATAAGTTTGATCTTTTGACAACTACCCGCTTTATATTTACATCTTTATTTCTGTTGTATAAATTTATATGTATATCACTTAAATAAATATATTTCTCACGAATAATATTAATATCTTATAAAGTCTATTTTTTTTTTAGCTAAAGTTCTTGCACGGTTCTTTCTTCCTTTTTTCTCCGCATTGGAGAGAAAAAGAGAAAAGATGAACCATGCAAGTTCAGCTAAAAAAAACAGGCTGATATTAACATACCAAATCATCTTTAATTTCTTTAATGTTATATATGATATCCCGTAAGTTTTTGCCAATCGCTTTTGTATAAATAGAGTAGATTAAACTGAATCGAAAAGTCCTGTACCATTTTGCAATTTTCAATGGTTAACGAGATATTAATTATTAAAAATCGTTAAATATTGGTTTTCAATAATTTTTTACTGAAATACTATCAACTTTGCAGAAAATTAGTGAGAGACAAAAATTGTTTAAATACAAAAATAAAAGTTAGAACTCTCGAGAATGTCAAAAATATAAACCAAAAGATGGCTAATGAGAATTATTTCACTGTAACTCGTGCGAGAAAGAGATTTATTGAAATCGATGAAATCAGACGTTTCGGCTTATATTCGAGTCATCTTCAGTGCATCTCATTATTATACAAAGTAGAATCTTATATGGCTAGAGAGAGTGACAAATCAATCCACCTCCATTCATTGTGGCACAAGATTGAAATCAAGTGGCAACAATCGGCCGGGACCCTCGAGGCCTCGGTGGTCTAATGGCTTAGGACGCTCGTACGGAATACAAGAGATCTGGGTTCAAGTCCCGACTGAGGTAATATTTTTCGCAATAAATTTATTTAAGGTTTTTCAATACATTAACACCCTTATAATATGATATCGAATCAAAGATTGAGAATTTGCTTGTTAATTTAATTTAACTTGTGATATTATTGCAGTAGTTTAATTGTGTTTGATAAAGTCCGGAAAAATCTCGGCGAGCAGTTTGAATAATTACAAAAATATGGTATATATGCATGTATATTTATAGAATATAGATAATTCGCTGTGAATTATTTAGGCATTGAGAAGATCTAGCTTTGACCATTATAAGCTTGAATATGCTTATCCTTAGTATTTAATTTCATGTCGGTCTTAATAAAATCTTAATATTGAAACGATGCATCATGCGCATTATTCGTGAAATGGAATGCACCCTGACTGTCAGGGAGGATAAGCATTAGTTTTCGTCCATTTTTACAAATGTTTTAAAGCAATCTCATCATTTTGATTTATCCAAATTATCTTTATTTATAAATAGCATGTAATAAAAATTAACGTGTCATTTCTCGCTTCTAACATGATTCAATATAACTGTGATAACTACTCAGGAGCCTTAAGTTATCAAAATAGAATATAAAATAGTATATATATCTATATGCAAAAATATTACTATTCATAATTTAACTGTTTTTTTTTTGCTAAACATTTAATTTTTATTAATTTTTATTATAATTTTAATTTTCATTGATTTCTAATTGTCACTAATTTTAACCTTTCAGCGGGCGCGCGCGTATTCTCCGTACACGCGCGCGTCGGTTTTATGGGGCGAATATAGGTAAAATTTATTTTTTTTCTTGGCTTCCCACGGTATTCCTTCAGTGTTTTAAAAGTATCTTAAAATAACAAGACTAATGAGAATTAACACCTATAATCAAGCGCAAGTTTTGTAGGTTTTTTTTAATCTATAAAACTTGCGCTTGATTATTCGCGCTCACTCTCATTAGCCTTGTTGTTTGTTGATTATTTTTGTATTTTTAATGAACAATACATAAGAAAATATAAGAACTCGCAATTTACGAGCAAATTACCCTCCTGAACATTCAGTTTATCTTTATATACTGAGAAAAAAAATTTTGTTCAACTAACTACACACATTTAGTTGTAGATTTGGTTAATTCAACAAATTTTATTTAATCGACTTTAACTGTAGTCTGCTTAACATTGAACAGTTCGTTAAGCAGACTACGGTTAAATTCGGCCAGATAAATAAATTACGCGCAAAACAAGCAAGAATCGAAAGAAGAAGGATTCAAATGCAATAAAACTACTCTGGGTACAATTTATTGCCTTTCTATAGAATCAAAAATTAGTAACAAGCCCTACTCAAAATGTTTCCGCAAGCTTTGCTACTAGAGTTCTTAAAACAGAGAATTTGAATTTTTAAAGCAGAAAAATTGTGTTTTTAAAGCAAATTTGTGGAATATTTAAGCAAATAATACTTATTATAAGCTTTCATGTTCATCTCTATGCCATCGATGTAACAAATTTCCTATGTAGCCTGAATAGTCGTCACTGTAGTGGTTATATCAGTTCATTATATGGAGCAGAATAATATTTTATTTTCTAAATTCACTTATTTCATATAAGAACGCTTCGAATGAACTTAATCAACATCGAAGGTGTGGAGGCTAAGCTCAACAATTATCACTTTTACATTTAACTTCACTAATTCCATGGAACAGATTTAGTATGCCGATATTATGAGATATCGAGTTCATTTTAAGTAAATGCTAGAAGTCTATGGGAAGAATAAAAAAAAATAATAGGTTATTTTAAAGGAAATTTAATAAGCTTTAAGATAATGTTATATAAAATTTAATTTTTTTTGAAAATTAAAGAAATGTAAAAAGTGAGCAAATTGCAGTACAAAAATTGTGCTCCTAATATGAGATGCTTCGAGAAATCGATAATAAAACGTAAAGTATATCAATATTGCAACTAAAAAACTTTATTTAATGTTTCTTAAATACAAACAAACGCAGCCAGAGTGCGCGAAAAATGAGTATGCGATATATTATACCCAAAACTCGTTTTCAGTTAAAATCAAACATCGCAGAAATAAGCACATTCATTCTGATTATCCTTTTTATTATTGTACAATAACATTTATACTTTAGCAATGTGATTTTCACTATAACATGGAAGCATGGGTTATTTCATATTAGGGTGTGTTCAGATTCCTTACCGGATGGGTGATCGCTGAGTGATTGAGTGAATGGGCGGAGCCTAGCGAAAAATACCGGAGTGGTTTGGAAATCTGAACGCACTCT